GTGATCATCATCAAACTGCCTGACAGTTTCAGGACTGATCAAAAGTCAAAGATGGTTATTAAGCTCATTGTCCAATTGCTTCATTAACACTGAAACACTTTGGGCATTGACCACCTCTCTATGAGGCCTATGACATTTTTTAACCATCGTCTTGGTAAGGAGATAGTTCCAACATCTAAATCTCTTCTGGTGCAGCTTAGAACTATACCCGTGTGTTCAAACACTGGACAGCAGGGAGATCAGCACCTCCCTCTCCACCTCCTCAGGAAGCTGTAGAGAGCCATGAGGTCAGGTCACCCTTCAGCCTTCTTCTGTAACTGAGTCTACTTATAAATGTCATATAAGGCTATCTAAATAGGGAAGATCACAACAAATTTCAATTTATAATGGCTTGTTTCTTTAGTATGGTTCCTTCTGCCTGTTCACATTCCTCAAGTTATTCTGATCACCCTGAGTGCTTTAAACACAAAATATTTAATTTAGCTCTAATTTATGTTTTGATTCTCACTTCTTTTAAAGCTTTTTTAACCTTCTACTTGCTTCAGAGCTCTTACTGATTTTATCTTAGTTATGAGTCACATTCCTCTCTTATTATTGTTTACCATTTCTGTAAGTTTTGTTCTTAGGTTCCTTGTCGTTTTATGCCCATAGATGTGAAAAATGCAAATCAGCCTTACAGCTATGCCATAGGTCTGGGTCTAGCCTTTCCACTGCCTGGGAGAACATGCTAAGATCAACACTTGAATCTTACCTAGTTGATATAAAGATAACTGCTCCTGCTCTGGTGCGGGGTCCTCTGTGGGCTGCTGGGTGGATATCTGCTCTGACATGGTTCTTCAATTTGCACAGGGGGACAATCTTCTTTGTCATGGCCTTTGTCATGGGCTACAGGCAAACCTTTGCTCCAGCACTGGGAGCACCTCCTCCTCCTTGTTTTTCAGCAACCTTGGTGTATGCAGGGTTGTTTCTCTCACATTTTTTTAATCACTCCTCTGCCTCACAGCTGTTATGCAGCATTTTTTACCCTTTCATAAATGTGAGGATTTGCCAGCATCACCTATGGTCTAAGCTTTGGACAACAGGGAATCCATTTTGGAGCCATTTGGCCTCTCACAGATAACACCTGCAGACCACCCAATGCTAAAGCCTTGCCATGTAAGCCCAATACAATGTGGAAGCAATATGCTGGCTTACATGATTGTCAAATTTATACTAACTGAGTAATTCTGCAGATTAAAATGAAGTAATGGTGTAGGTATATGTGAATGTCACATGCAGCACATGCAGGTGCTGCTTTGGATTCACGTCTGAGATATGACCTCGAAAGGACAAGAAAGAACTTCATTTTTGTTAATGAAGCTCTACCTAAAATGTATCAGGAATAGCTGAGAATGGGTCTGCAATATGAGCAGAAGACAATGCCTGCGAATGTAAGAAAATCTCTTCACAAATATGATAAAGCTCCAAAGAGACATTTATTTACACCTCTTAGGAGCTATTCACACATTCAGAGAGTGCAGAAGAGGTTTGTTGCACAGAAAAGACAGAAGCCTAGGATGGAGGTAAATTATCTTCAGTTTTATTACATTGGCTATTACAAAATATTTAAGTGGGTTGTTACATGTCTGCTTTCTCTGCTTGATTTGGCTGATGTTGCCTCTGGTGTTGTTATCCACAAATACATTTTTTCCTTTCTCTAAGTTACTAATAGTAACTTCAAAACTATGGAGGGTTTTAAGTTAATAAATATATTAATTAATAAAGGCCCAACCTCAAGCAATACTCTCCAGATCTTCAGTATATTAGAAAAGGAAATTGTGTTTGTAAGAGAATTGTAAATATAACAGTCAAAATAGTAGATGTCATGAATTCTTATAAAGAATCTGTCTACCTCCCCAAATTTCCTGACCTGATGTTGATTCAAAGTGTACAAACAATACAATTTTTGCCAGGCTGTAATGAAGATAATTCTTAATCTAACATATTCAGGACAAATTAGGACAATTTTAGTTTTCTAGTATTTTTAACTTGTCCTAGAAGCTGATCTATCAAGTACAGATTCTCCTCTTCACAGATAGTGTAGCTGGAATGATAGCAGGCTTGATTAATTGCTTTCCTTTCCATTTTGACATAGAGTCATAGAATCATAAAGTATGCTGAGTTGGAAAGGACCCACAAGTATCATCAGTTCTAACTCTGGCCATGGACAGGACAATCCTAAAAATCACTCCATGTGCCTGAGGACATTGTCCAAACACTTCTTGTACTCTGTTAGGATTGGTGCTGAGACCACTTCCGTGGAAAGCCTGTTCCAGTGCCCAATCCCCCTCCAGGTGAAAAACATTTTTCAAATACCCAACTTAATGATTCTCTGGCACAGGCAACAGACCGTGCATAGGGAACAGACTGACACAGAACAGTGCTGTTCCCTTGATTTCTATTGCTGGCCATTGTACAGGAGAGATAAAACCTGCCCTTCTGCTTCTTATCACCAAGAAACTGAAACTTCTGAAACTGTGGAAACCTCCTAAAGCAATAATCGTGTGGAAAATTTTCAAGATATCCACTATTGATCCTATCTGTAGGCTGTGTTTTTTCTTGTCATTCTTTCTCCTCCTCTTTTCTGCATGGAAAAGTTTCTTGGTAAATTTTGAAGATAAAATTGTCTCATCACCTCTTTAATGAAGGTTTGACATGTAGGGATCTACATGTAGGTAATAATGGAAAACCCAGAGAAGGAACAGTCCTTATAGATAAAACTTACTTCTTCATGTACAGCACCATATGTACAGAGCAAGTGTTCTATAATTTCTTGTTTTCCTTTCTTCAGGAAAAACTGCAACTGTGTCTGAAAAACTAAAGATAAATCTGTTACGTAGAAGACCATCCAACAGAGAACAGAATTCTGAATTTGATAGGGTACTTTGATAGTGATGAGAAGAGCAGGAAGTTGAGAAGAGGGAAACAAGAAAGGAATGCAAAGAATGAAGAGAAATGGAAGCAGAACAGTGTAATCAATGTAAGGATAAACAGAGAAGAAAAGGAGACTATCAGAGAATGGTTACTGAGTTACTTTGAGAGGAATTTCATAACACTGAAAGAGGAGATAACAGAACATGATGAAGCTCTAAGAGACTTATTTTAGACCCAAAAGGTCATATTTCAGCTGCCAAGAACTTGTTCTCAGTTACTCTGAGCTGTACAATATACTGTTCCATTTCTTGGAAACAAACCAAAGGATCCCAAATTACCAGCAGCCACCTGATCTGCAGTGCTGGAGACATGATAAATTCATTAAGAATTTCAGAAGGTGGATGAAGGAAAATATTTTCCAAGTAGTGCTTGCATGATTATCAGTTTCATTTATGCATACATGCGTCTTCGTTCTTTTTCGACACTACTGATCGCCAGTAAAAGTGAAAAAAGGGAATCAATCCAAATAAACAGAGTCCTTCTCTAGCTCTGTGTACCAAGCAGAAAAATCCAGAATAACTTTAGCTGTACAGTGGTGTGGGTTCTTTAATCCAAATGATTTGGTTACTTGGTTTGCCCTTAGTGAAAGAAGGCACATTTAAAAAATATCTTGGCATTGCGCACTATGCATCCAATGTTCGTGTCCATGAGTACTCTACCTTGTCTACACAAAAAATTGTCAATGGAATATTATCCTATTTTGGTAATACATTCACAGGCACAGAATGAGGATATGTGTCTGATCAGTTGGACATGCACAGTTCAGGAAGCGCTTTTCTTCAAGCCTCATTGTAACTCCAGCAATTTTTTTCAATGTTGATAGCCCTAAGGGATATAATAAAATTAATTTCTTCACAAACCTCAATGACCACTTCATCAAAAATTGGTTTTGCCTTCTCTCTTGTTAGGTAACTGACTGCTCATACAGCAACATTCTCTTGGATAACAAAGAGCAAAAAAGAGCATATAGAATTTCTCGTGTTGCAGCTCCATGGCTGGGAAAAAGTCCTCTAATATTTTAATGCATAGGCTTTTGTTTACTGAGATGATTCTTACTGCTATATTTCCATTTTAAAATGAACTTGCATTCTTGGCTCCAGAAGGTGATATGCAATGGGATGATTTGTCAGCTTAAATTCAAGCTGCAGCTACTTTACTCTTGTCCAGTAGTTCATGCTACAGTGCTGGAACTGCTAGGGGGATGTTGGCTTTTTGTTTTCTGTGGCCTCTGAACTAATTCTGATTTTTTTCCACTGTTTTTTGAGGCATCTGTGAAGCAACATAAAAGAGAAATAACCATGTTCTTAAAAATAGCTATTTCTGTATTTCAGCAATAGCCACACAGAAGCTTGATATCTTAGACAAATAGGTACACCCTCTTGCATAGTAATTTTTAGGCAAAGAATTCAATGATTCAAGCATATTTCCTTTTACATCCCAAGACAAGTTTTCCCAAGCCACTCTACCAGCAGGATGATAAAGCGGTGCACTGTCTTTTGTGAATCTATGGATTCCTGCCTAGTTGTGTCAGATATTATCAATTATCTGTTTTGCTTTACACTGATACAGAACAGTGCTAACAGACACATAGGGTGTGTCACCAAGCTGCTAATATCAATGAGGTTGTAGGATAGGCCCTGAAGATCAGTTCTTTGAGTTTTATGCAATGGAGAAAGAGGAAGGAGAATGCAGATGTGTTTTCACTGTAAGACTTTCATCAGCCTGCAAGCTTGTTAATGGAATTAGTTCCATGCATCAATATCACAGATGAGTAATGCCAGAGACATGGCAGGCACAATGTGATGAGTAGTGCATCAAACAGGAAAGAGCAGGATCATACCAATAGCTAACTTCCAGGCAAAACAGAGGGCAAAACTGGATGAAGAGATTAGATGTTCATGCAAATCATGGTCAGGGAGTGCTTCAGTTAGAAAAGACAACAGAATTAAGTGGTGCCCGCTCAGGTCTGTTAAACTAGAGCTGTAGAATTGGCCTAATGAAAACTGTGAGTTTCTTTTTACAGGGCTGGATTTGTGGTCGTCCTTGTAACCCATGTACCCACATGCTGGAAGAAGATAAAATGCCCTGCCAATACCTAGGACTTCCAGAGCCGAAGAACAGCAACAAGCCATCTGACTGCCCGATAGCACCCGAGGGCTCCGTACGGTCAGGCATGGGACGACGATGGCACCTCTGTGTTATTTTGTTTTTAGGATTTATCGGCGCAATTGATGCCAGGCATTATCCTCACCAGCCATTCAGGTGGGTCTTGCGCCATCTTTCAGGCAACAAAACAATCAAAGAAAAGGTAGTGCCAGGCAGCCCGTCTTTTGAATTTAAGCTAAGGTATATATTCCCCTCACAGATGGGGTTTCTCGAATTCGGGGAATCATCATTATATCAGACCTTTTGATGCCCTGCCTCTAACCCAGGTAAAAACTAATGTCATTATCCAGGGTATGGCTACTGTGGATACTGGGGGTGCGAAACCATTGTAACAAGCAATAGATGGCAGCCGCAGCAGCCTGTCAAGTTTCTAGAAGTTTAATATGCTCCTGACGGCTGTCGCGAACCTAAATTTGCGAGGGACAGGCAAATATACAGACCCCAAGATGGAACTAAGCACACCTGCAAAAGCTACATAATGACTGTCCAGCAGCCAATGCACAAAAGCTGGGCCACTGGTAAAGTTTGGTCAGTATTCGTCCGTGCCTTTCACGACTACTGGGTGAACATCCAAATCATTAGACTCTCACAACTGACACCCATCTCTCTAGGACCTAACCCAATCCTTGCAAGAAGCAAGGCCAGAGAACGAACCACAGTTACTGGTAAACCCACGTATGGGGCGTGTGCACCTAACCTCACCTCTACACCACTCATCCTTTCAATGCTCTTATGACCCATTTTTTAACATGCTAAATGCTACCTTTTTGTCTCTGAACCAATCGAATCCAGATCTCACTGAGTCATGCTGGCTGTGCTATGACTCAAAACTCCCCTTTTATGAAGGTGTTGCCTTGAATGTTTCTTTCAACTATTCAAACTCACAAAATCCACCCCAATGCAGGTGGGATACCCCCCGTAGAGGGATTACTTTGAGTCAGGTTACAGGTCGAGACAAATGTTTGGGCAACGTGACTATGGCCAGACAAAAAAGCCTTGTTTGTGATGAATTTACACAGCCCCAACGATCAGACAGATGGGCAATCCCGTCTGGGCCAGGGATGAGGGTATGCCATTAATCTGGGGTCAGCCCTTGTGTGCACCTTGATATTTTTAATTTTTTCACTGAATTTTGTGTCCAAGTTCTAATTGTCCCTAGGGTCTTATACCATTGGAAAGAAGACATGTATCTTCCTCGCTGGCTCCGCTGAAGGGAAGTAGTGACAGGTATCACCTTTGCAGTGCTCCTCGGCTTGGGAGCCGCCAGCACGGCTACAGGCGTTTCAGCCTTCATTACCCAGCATCAAGGGCTTTCTCAACTGCAAGCAACCGTTGACGAGGACCTGCAGAAAATTGAGGAATCCATCTCCCTCTTAGAAAAATCCCTCTCCTCTTTCTCAGAGGTCGTCTTGCAGAACAGACGAGGCATGGACCTCTTGCTCATGCAACAGGGAGGCCTGTGCGCTGCCCTAAGAGAGGAATGCTGTTTTTACGTGGACCATACAGGGGTCGTGCGGGACTCAATGGCCGAACTGAGAGAAAGGCTGGCCCAAAGGAAGAAAGAGAGAGAAGGACAACAGGGATGGTTTGAGTCATGGTTCTACCAGTCCCCATAGCTAACCACCCTTATCTCCACTCTCATAGGCCCTTGTGTTATGATACTTTTGGCATTAGTCTTTGGTCCCTGTATTTTAAATAAGTTAGTGTCGTTTGTTAGTAATTTGTCAGTTAACATTATGCTAGTTGAACGCCAACAACTGCTTTAAGTGAAGTTTTTGAACACGTTAACAGCAATATAAGAGTTTACAGGCCCAAGTTCTAGCGGCTCAGTAATTTGCAGTTCCATGGCTTTGGATCTGTGACATTCGTTTTATGTATGTTACTACATTTGGTTAGGCATAGAGAAGGGGGGAAATGTGGGAGGATAGGAACAGGCGATCGGAAGATTGTGTGCTGTATGGAAAGATGGGACGCCCTCGCCTCCGTTTGTTAGTATTACCATGAATTTACTGAGCCAGCCAAGACTGAGTGGCTTGTGACACAAGCACACGGAAGTGATGTAACCCCAGGCTATATAATGCTGTGCAGCTCGGAAATAAACATCATTTTACTGTCCACCACATTGGTGTCTGCGAGTAATTGGCCCAAGCAGTCTGAGGTGACTGCCGTGCCGTTGCTGAATCAGGTCGTCATGCCTCGGAGGAGGCAACAAGGGAGGAGGAGTCAATACTTTATATTGACTTAATTTACCACAGCTGTGGGTATACACTGTAGATGTAACAGTGTACAGCTTGTGTAAACATCTACTCTAGGGGCTATTACAGTTTAGGTGTCAGTGTCACCACGTGGCTCACAAACGTGAATTATTGCAGTGTGGGTACTGGAATGAAGAGGAGTAAATGGATGAGTGCAGGTTAAATTTTCAAAGAGGACAAGATCAGTCATGTCAATAGCCATTTGTTTCACATCTTTACTACTTTTGTCAGAGCAATACTGTCAGAACAGACAAATGTTAATTTCTCTAATATTCTTTTTCAGACTCAAAAATTAACAGAATAAGGGACAAAGACCCAAACAAGTTAGAGAAATTTCCTGAATTGCAAGCAACCAGTGCAGGAAGGAGTAGATAAATGCTGGTTAACAATGATTCTTAGGTATCACCACTGGCCTTAAACACACCGACTATTAAACATTAAATGTGATCCTAAGTCAGCTCAATTCAGAGCCACATGACTGGTTTTGTAAGTGATGTGCTCAACCCGAAAAGACAGGCAGAGTTTTTAGAAAGGGCACATTAGATTCTGAGTGTGACTTCTGAGTTTGACCCACATATTGATATTCTAAAGTGGCTCAATTTATCAGCCTGAGTCAGTGATGCTCTGAGGATCTTTGCACTATGGAATACCCTCAGGCTTCACAGAATGGGTCAGGTGGGAAGGAACCACCATGGGTCATTTGGTCCAACCTGCTCAGGCAGGATCATCCTGCACATGGCACAGGACAGCATCCAGATACTTTTTGAGTATCTCCAGTGAAGGAAACTTTAAAACATCTCTGGACAATCTATTGTAGTGCACAAAACTGTTCCAGGCTGTTATAGTGTGTCTTTTCCAGGCTTCCAAGTGAACTTGCTAAGCATTTTGAGCTAGGCAATATCAAAACCAATAATAAAAAACTAAATAAAACAGAAAAAAACCAAAAAAAGCACCTCAGAGAAACAGTGCTATGATCTAAATATTTATATTTTATGTCCAGAACGTAAAGTAGAGCAGGAAGCCCAAACTTTTGCTCAGTCTTGATCTCTTCCCATGGTTATGTTGACACTTTTGCTTCATCATAAGCAGTTTCATGTGTGGTTGTGGTGCACTTGGCAGTAATAATGGTAGGTACAACATATAACCTATGTTATTTGCACTCTTCTGAAAACCCAAGTAAGTTCACCAGGATACCCTAACACCATTAATCAGGTAAAACTTTTGGCTAGTGCTTCATCTGTCTAAATTATGTACTGTTATTTTACTGAAGCAAATGACTCCATTGTAGTCAAGACAATGGTTTTAATGCAATAACTCCCCATAATGAGAAGTATTTGAACCTCATAAATGTGAGAGAAGAAAAGGCCTTTTTGCATCATTACTGCATTTAACACAGGTGACAACAACTACGCCACCAAAAGGAGTCACAATATTTCTATACGTATGCAAATATACATGCAGAATACAGTCAAGGCAAGAAAAAAAATCCAGCAAACCTTCCTTTGCTAATTCCTGTCCTTGAATTTTGTTAAAATATTAAACATATAGGATTATTCTCCTGTTCTGGAGAAAGAACATGAGACTGCATCTTCAGAAATATATTTTATTCTGGTAAGAAGTAAAATTATATGGCACTGGATCTATCTGACAGTTTCATGTATACTACAGAAACACAGAGCTACAAAATTAGATAATGTAAGATAGGCTGTACACCAAACCTGTCCCGCTACAGTCCAAATGAGGTTATTGACTCAGAGAAGGAGTCATTGATAAAGCAATTATTACCAGCAGCCAGATGTGTGATAGCTCATTTTTGGAAATGGACAGATGCCCCGGCATTAATGTCCTATAGATATCAAACATAAGAAATTCTTTGAATAGAACCAAAATGACAAGCAGACTTATATCAAAATCTAGTAGATTTAATGTGTAGCATTTCCTTGGAACCATAACAGAATAAAACACATGACTAAGAGGCCAAATAAGCACAAATGAATCTTTTAAAGGTGACAAATTTGCTATGTATTAGTCAGGTTGTCCAGAAACTTAATGCATTCCAATAAAGATTTATTTATTTTTTAAGCTACCAGGACATAATGTACTCAAAAGTTAGGTGCATAATTTCAGGTACATTCTCCTTATTTCCATTCATTGCACATCCTTATTAGAAAACTCTGCCATCTGAATATTATACTGCTATGCCAAATGTGCAATTCTATAAATCAGCCAGTGAGAGAGGGTGCCAGCCCTTCCTGATGATAAATACAGTGGCAGGAATCTACTTTGTTTTGTAGCATGTAAGACTGATTAATCCAAAGCTGTTTGCAAACTTCATTTCATACAGGATACCCCCACCCTTACGATCAGATTAACAAATCAAAGGTACATTCAGACTTGGAGACAGGTTGCCACTTAAGCATTTCAGATACTCAGGTATTTGGTTAAATTAAGCTTGGATTAACAAGGTCTGACTATTTAAAGGGAGTTACGTTTAGGGGTTCTCTGTCTCCACTGATTTTAAATGCTGTGCTCATGGGGTAGTGCCGTCCAGTCTTAAGAGCTTACAGAGCTTTACAGCCTCCCTGCAAGCTTCATGAGCTTAATTGAAGATAAGTATACACAAACTCACCTTCCTAGAAAGACCTCTATTTATGTGAGGGGGAAAGAACCCAAACAAATCTCTTTATGCAGGGACTAAGCTGCATCTTTTCTGTCATAATTTATACTTATTTTTATATAGTGGAATTTATTAGACTAAACCCCTTAACTATGTGGAATAGATGAAAGTAGAATCATTCAACACTGTCACCTTTTTGTCATCAATTGAGATTCGCTAGGAGGTGATAGAGCCTGATCGAATTATTTGTTAGGAGCAAGTCATGCCTAACAATTTTGCCTCAGTGGAAAGTGGATCTGTGAGGGCCTGGGTGTGGATCTGTGAGGGTCTGTTCTCTGGCTTTCTTTTGTAAATTTAAAAATATAAAGACATAACTTCTTTAGCTAATATTCCCAGCAGTATTCTCTTACCAGTTGGAAATGTCTAACATTGTAACATAGAGAGACCAGATTTGCAGTGGCGAAGTGAAGGAATGTGCAACATCTCATCTCACATGGAGAACCTGAGTGAACCCACAATTGGAGGCCATGTTCTTTAAGGATTCATGGTATTGTCATGTGTAAGGGTTATTGAGCAATGGTTAAAGGACACTGCTGCACTGAGGGTTTTTTGGTCAGTTGTGCTGGATTTGTCTGCAGTAGAGTTAATTTCCTTCCCAGTGGCTAGAACGGGGCTGTATTTTGAACACAGGGCTGATAATACAGAACTGTTTTTGTTATGCTCACACAGGGCCAAGCCCTTTCTTGCTTTTCACAGTGCCATGTTGGTGAGAAGACTGGGGGTCCATGGGAGATTGGGCACAGCTGGCCCCACCTGACCAGAGGGATATTTCAAACCCTGTGACATCATACTCAGTGTATGGGGGGAGTTATACAGAGAAAGGGGCGTTTGGAGTGATGCCATTTGTCTTCCCAAGTAATTGTTGCACATGATGGGGCCGTGCTCTCCTGAGATGGCTTAACACCTACTGCTTGTGGGCAGCAGTGAATTAATTCCTTGTTTTTCTTTGCTTGTGTGTGTGGCTTTTGCTTTCCCTATTACACTGCTATCTTAACCCGTGAGTTTTTCAGCTTTTACCCTTTTGATTCTCTCTTCAATCCCACTGGGGAGGAGAGGGTGGATGAGTGACTGTGTGAGGCTTTGTGGATATCTGGGATTAAACCACAACAGCTGTACAGGAGCTGATGCTGGTTAGAGGTGAGAAACAGAAACATGGACATGAGGCAGGAACTATGGAAAAGGTTTCTGTGGTATAGTTTCATTAGTGTTGGCTTGCATTCAGTCACTCAGCAAGAAACCCTTCACTTACATACAGCTGTATTGTCAGAGGTAACTATATGTATTGTGTATGCAATCACTTCTAAGGAATAGAGACATTTAACATTATCATTTCTTCAGCTGTTTCAGATCATGATAAAATCTTGATATACATTACACAGCAATAAAAATGTATTTTCAGAGCTTCTTTTTAATTTATTTTTTATTATTATTTATTATTTACACATTTAAAAGAATATTGTACTTCTGCATAAATGTCCAAGTGTCCTAATGAAGGCAGGAAAGCTGCAAGTGAGCCACAACTGATGCAAGATGATGAAACTCCATTTGCAGAAAAAGAATATGATACATCAGATGAGATGTGTGGCAGGTGATTCTTCCTACATGTCCTCTCTCTAAACTATCTGCCTCTGGATAGGGACATTCAAATTGCCATGCATTGGTCAGAAATGAGCTATCCTTTGGCTGTACAGCTAACTGAATTATTTGCTAGTAATTGCTTCTGAGTCAATCAATAATTTCATAAAGATGGTTCAGGAGAATGTTTGTTACATAAAATGAAGAGTTTCCTTAAAAATTCATAAAAAATAATGCTTACAAATTGTTTAATTTTAAGTTACTAATAAAGAAATGAAAGGTAAGGAGGGAAAAAGAGGGGAGAAAGGTCTCAGGAATATTAGGAAACAATTTATCCAGGAATAAATACAAGTGCTTTTAGTCTGCTATAATCTGGAGACTCTTCGTTTTCCATCCTGCCTTAGTTTAAATAAATAAAATACAATATAATATCATGTAAGAATGGCTGATTATGTATTATTTTCTTTTACTGAAGTGGAAGTAGCACTTATGATAGGTTCAATTGAAACCTCAGTTGCTTTTATTCTCTCCTCCCAAATGTTTACTATAAATTATATAAATACTATAAATATAAGTTTTGTGTGTGAAAGTACTTTGCATTTATGACATT